CCACAGATGGTACAGATCCAGATATAATACCAACAATTATGAAATGCCAACCCCACACTTGTGACAGGATGATAGGCACTCCTGTAATGCAAATAGATGATCTTTCTTCAAGACATAAGTGAAAATTTATTCTCCAAAGATTCCTGTGCGGCTAGAAACACTGTTGTAGAAATACAAGAAAGATTTGGCTCTTTTTGTGCTACAGATATGAAAGCTAAGCATATCTACATCTCCCAAATGAGTTTGTATACACACTTTTAAATGCCACTTAATACACAAAAGAAGGACGATGAATGTTCCAGTTTTCTGTGTCTCTTTAAAGCAAAATGCCACAAATGTAAATTCTTCTAAGTTAAAAAATAAAAAAACTAAGAAGTGTCGAGAGGTCCCAATGGATAATTTTAAGTTGGGTAAATCCAGCTATTAAATAAAAATCCAAGAATGTTAGGCCAGGATAAACTGAAGCTGGGAGCAGGACAGAAAGGATTCCATAAGCGACTGACTTCTGTCTTAATAGGTACCCAAAATATTTTGCTGATTTTTTTTTTTTCATGGAGCAGCAAGGCAGCAGCAAGACTTTGCTCAGATTGAGAGATTTTTGCTGTAAAAAGGTGATACTGTCATGAACCCCTCCTGACTATGATCACATTAAAAGGAAATTCAATAAGGCAAGTAATTCTGTGCATCCCACAAGCTCTGCAAGATGCCACATGAGGGACTTGACTGCTTTTCTGCTGAAATGCATTAGTAACTAACTCTCAGTAGTATGTTGAAGTTGACTGTATAAAGCCGTTTCTGGAAATATCTGTTCAAAAATAAATACCTGTTAAAGGCTTGTGATTAACTTTTCAGAGTGTTACAGTTGTTCTAATCCCCATAAAAGCATTCATGGAAATCTCAGTGCACAGAAACCATTCACACTGATCTCATGTGTATGTACAATGACAAGGCAATAGATTTGTTCAAACCGGTCTGAATTTAGACTTTTTTATGAAAAATGGACACTTGTGCACATACACTTTCATTTTTTGACTAGCTCTAAAAAGCACAAAAAAGACTTTTCCCATGTTCTTTGGATGTCTAAGAAATTGTATGTGACTAAGGTGAAGACTTGTGGGATATCTCTGAAACACATTGAACAAGGTAGCTGAACATTAGAAGGCTTTTTTTTAAGAATTCTCATTGGAAAGGCCATTTAGATTGCTGGAAAAGATTCTGTCTACTTAGCATTTACTTATAACAAGAGTAATATCCTAGCGCTATTGAAGTAAATGAAGTTTTGCTATTGACTTTAATATGGTCAGGATTTCATCCCAAACTTTCTTTTTAGTCTATTTTTGATTTTTGGATCGTTGAGTCATTCATCTAAATTCTCCACTTTCCAATACCAGATCGATAAGATTTCCATAGCAATTAGAACAAATTCTTATTGCAATAGACTGGATGTTCTGATGAGATGGGTTTAACCCACAAATGCTCATGATCTATACCTTTGTTAGTCTCTAAGGGCATGTCTATACTAAAAATTATTTCAGAATAAATAAAATTGACATCATGACTTCTGATTTAACAAAATCAAAATAGTGTGTCCTCACTACGGGGAAGAAATGAAATTAGTAAGAATTATTTTGAAACAGCATGTCCACACTGATTGGAGCCTGCCTTGGACATAGAGCCCCCAGAAGCATTCTGGGGAGGGCACCAGGCGTGCAGATATTTCCTGTGGCTGCTTGGTCAGGCAAGCTGTGATGCATTGCTTTCAGGGACTCCCCTCTATGGCCATGTCTCACATGCCGCTCCTCCACTACCTCCATACTCACTGAACACAAAAAGGATTCAGTAAACACGTGCCTTCTGTAGACACCACAGCATGGAGCCAGAGCTGCTGCAAAGCAGTCCTAGGCTCAAAGGCTTCATGCTGCCCCTCATGGTGCAGTCCTTCCAGACTACTCCCATGTTGCTCCAGCAGGATGAGAACCACGAGTTGCAGGATGAACCCCATCATGGACTGCAGGCCCTGCTCAACCAGGTCCTGGCACTCCTGCTTCTGCACATGCCCCTCAATCCCCTGATCACCATGGAACTTTGCTTCTGGCAGGAGGAGACCAGAAACATTAACCAATGTTACAGCTAATCCATTTGGCTATCAAACATTAATGAAACACTCTCTGATAGCATGTGACCATGGTGCCTGGAGAGGGCTGCATTGAGATTGCCCAAACAGGACAAGTTGCAAAGAATGGGGCAGTCAATTCCCAAAACTGGTGGTTATTCTAATAATTAGATTTACCAAGCCTGCAACTAAGGAGCTTCAATGATATCTTACCGGTTACCCAGAAGTGAAAAACACAGTTCCATCATAGAAACTTCAAGCTTCCACCCAAGTCAAATATGGTGGGGATTACTTAAAATCCTGTTCACCACATATAATGTTCCATTAATCTCAAGAGATTAGCTGCATTACCTACCAGGTCAATGAATATTTCAGATCTTAGCAAAAACAAATTTACAACTAATTCTTTACTAAATTAAGATTGATTAGAAAAAAGTATTGTGGTTAAAAGATCATTATACACACAGATATGAATAAAATTCATAAGTCAGTGTCATAGTGGAGATTGAGAACTGCCTATCTGTAGAAATTTTTTCCAGAATCAATTCCATCAGTTACTTTCCAATAGGCAGCCTGTTTAAATTCTATATGAGAAATAGCCAGGTAATCCAAATTGGAGGTGGATACCTTTCAACTTAATCTTCCCCAGTTTATGTAGATCTGATATTGGGGGAAGAAATCTGTCCCAAAAGTTCCTTTATAGCTCTCAGAAAGTATGATAGCCTCTTGACAACAGGTCACTGCAGGTATCCCTTAAATGAAGATGAGGTGGCTTTTGAAGCCTTACTCCTATTTCCTATGCATTCATCAGCATAAGGTAATTCTGCATCCAAGCAATTCATAGACAGTTTACTACACACTTCAAAGAGAAATATAGACAATGATATTACATCCAAGTTTCATATGAATGTTAATATTCCCTTTTGATCTCTGAATCCTAGAACATAGTAACAAGACAGGAAGAGAAATTTATCATTGACCAGTTAAAGAGTTCACATTGTGAAGCTTCTAGCCGAAATAGGTAAGCACAGACAAAATTAATATATACTTCTAATTCTTTGACAATACAAATGTTCATTTCAAACACTATGGTCTTTGTAACATGACTTTGGAAACTCTCTACAAGAAGTGGCCTTGTTTTACCATTTCAGTACCTCTCTAATATGTTCTTAAAGATTGATCTGAGTCACTGTAGCTTGTTGGTTATTTAATTCTTTCTGGCTCAGTATCACAAGTGGAATTTTGAGAACTCTTGTTAAAGCTGTTAGTTCACAAAGGTTAATGTTCAATGGAGTACCTATATGAGAATGTGTTTAAATATGGGAAAATGCCTGTATGATGCAGCTCATTTATGCAAAACAAAAGCTCCAACCCTAAAACCAGTGAATAAAAAGGCAAAAACACCTCCAAACTATTAAACACAAATTTAAAAATAGGAGAGGAAAAAAAGGAGGTTGATGAACTCTTAGCTCTTCCCTGTGTTCTAATGAAACAGGATGAGAACTGTGGTCAAGGAGTCCAAAGGCTGGCACAATGCTTCTTGATTATGAGTTTTCTTTGGCTGAAGGGGAACAAGTGGTGAAAAGGAGGTGTAGCCCTTTAGCTGAGGTTCAGGGTTCTGCCATTCTTCACACAGTTATTTTTAACTGAAAAGGTGAGGGCTCTCAGCCTTACTCTGGATTCCTATTACCCTCTGCATGCTCCACTTTGCAGTTCCTTCCTCCCAAAATCATGGGGAAATCACCTATGAAACCTAACCTGGAGCCATGCAATTTTGTCCAGTCAAGTTTGAGTTAGGTCTTCCTTTGCCAGCGTGAGCTTGGAAAAGTTCTACTTAAGCCAGGAATTAAATATATTCAGTGATTTGCATCCCACAAAGACTAATTTGTGACCTCCCTGCCCAACATAAAACAAAGAAAATGAGGCAACTTTACGAGGAAGCTGGCATGGCCCTGTCTGGGTTAAAAGGTTTTGAGGTGATTCAATATCACCCATTTGCAGAAAGCTTTACCAAAACCCCTGGAAGAATAACCCATGAAAAAGATCTTGGCATCCAATAGCCACTCAACATTCATTCTTCAGCAAGACTGAAAATAAACATGAACATCTTATGACCAGCTATTATCATTCTTCCAAACAAGATGATTAGTAATCTTAATACTTCCAACTAGGCTATAAATCAAACAAGCTTATCTTTGAAAGGTTTCATCTTGCCAGCCAAAAGGTTCTTTAAAATCTCTTATTAAACCCATGTAAGTGCATAACTGACTGGATAACCATTCTCAGAGTAGTTATTAATGGTTCACAGTCATGCAGGAAGGGCATAACAAATGGGGTTCTGCAAGGGTCTGTTTTGGGATGGGTTCTGTTCAATATCTTCATTAATGATGACATAGAGAGTATGCTTATTAAGTTTGCTGATGATAACAAACTGGGAGGAGTAGCAACTGCTTTGGAGGATAGAGTCATAATTCAAAACGATCTAGACAAACTAGAGAGATGGTTTGAGGTAAAAAGGATGAAGTTTAATAAGGACAAATGCAAAGTACTCCACTTAGGAAGGTATAGTCAGCTTCACACATACAGCATGGGAAGTGATTGTCTAGGAAGGAGTACTGCTGAAAGGGATTTAGGGGTAATAGTGGACAAGTTAAACATGAATCAAGGAGAAAAATTGTTCTCATTGTCCTCTGAGGATCGAACAAGAAGCAATGGGCTTAAATTGCAGCAAGGTAGGTTTAAGTTGGACATTAGGAAAAACTTCCTGCCTGTCAGGGTGATTAAACACTGGAATAAATTGCATAGACGGGGTTGTGGAATCTCCATCACTGGAGATATTTAAAAGCAGATTAGACAGACACCTGTTAGGGATGATCTAGACGGTGCTTGGTCCTGCTGTGAGGTCAGAAAAATGTACTCAATGACCTCTTGAGGTCCCTTCCTGTTCTATGCTTCTAAGAATGAAAAAGAATTCAAGTGTCTATAAGGTCTGTATCCCATATGCACCACTTCCCTCACATATTGCCATAGTCATCTATGCTTTTCACACCTCAAACTTGGATTAGAGAATGTTCCTATCATTGCATAAAGCAGTACAGCTTTCTATAGGACACTGAAGCTCTTTTGGCTTGTTGTGGCCACTGACTTGCTGACAGACGTTTGGGACATTGGTGGTGTTTTCTCTAATTGTGTTTTATATGTACGCATATATGCAGACTCATAATGGTTTGGGACTTAAAGCCTAATGCTCTCCTCATGTGATATAATGCAGGTGTGAGCAGCTGAGGTAAAATCCCATTGGTCTACATTAGAAATGGTCAATGGTTAGGCATTATCAGTGAGACAACCTTAGCTTTGAAACTGACTACTCCTCATTCCCCAGCATCATTCCTCTTGGTTCATCAGAATTAGGAATTGTAATCTTCTCTGGGATGCTGCAATAGTCACATGATACAATGATATTTTGGGTGGCAGAAGGGAAGGCTAGCAGTAGGGATCTAATCTGAATTAACTACTAAAGCTATTAAAGTGATTTATTTATTAAAGAAACGGTTCTTCCTGTTCTTTGCACATTGAGATTTAATTTTGCTATGCTGGTGCATACTACAGTACTAATATGTGCAACATGTAATGTAAATAAATGAATACAGTGACACTGAAGTCACAATAGGTTGTGTTTCTCTCTCCTAGATCAATTTATTTTTAGGTACCTTACCCTTTTCTTGATCTAGTATGAACAGTTAATGCAAACTATCCCTTTGAATCACATTAAAGTCTATACATATCTAACCCTTTTAACCTTCAATTTACAGTATCTACTCTTTTTTTAAATGTTTTTCAGCTTGAATTTTGTTTTATGGAGGGTTTTATGGACCCTCAAACAAGCTTAGTTTTCATTTTCTAAGCCTGTACAACATTCACGTTAGTGCTAAAACTCTGTGAATGGTGCCACTAAACATGATTTTAAATGAGGTGGAGAATCACATATCATTCCTGTTCTTGCTTAGCAGGTGCTTCTGTTTTATGTGACTACAGCTGCCATTTCTCTGTGCACTTACAATATCCAGACATGGTAAATCTCTTGGTCTTGAAGTCTTCCTGCATTATTCATAGCATCAAGTGGTCGGCTATTCTGACTGTAATTTACTATAATCAATTTTCTGGGTCTTGCAGATCAAAGAGATTTTTAATTATGCAATTCAAGGTTGAACATGGACTCATCTCTCAGAGGAATGTTAAAACGTCCCTAACTTATTTAAAATCTTTTAGACACTATTAAATCTATGGGCAGGATTAAGCAGCAGTTCTTTAATTACCTGCATATACTACAAATATATTTTATTGCTGTCTCCTAAAGAGTTGCTTTTTTCCAGCTGTGTCTTCCCAGACAGAGCAGAGGTTCTTTCTTGCCTTACTCTCTTGCATTTGTGGAATGTCAAAGTGGAAGGTTGCGCATGCTGCAGCTGCCCTTGTCACTACCTGTTCAAAATGAAGTGACAACATGACATGACAATTCACATGTTTTCCCAACAGTTTTAACTTCACAATTCTTTGCATGTAAGCACTTAAGTGTGACTGACTGTCAGACTGTTGTCCTATTATTTTTCCTTTGGAAAAAGAAGGTGGCTGGAATATGAATGCATTTGTTAACCAAATAGATTTCTTCATTTAGCACAGTTCTAGATTTCAGAAGCTAACCCACGCCCGAGGCTAAAAGATAGAGGACAATTCCTGTTTACAATTCCATGGCAGTGAATCTGGGACTGAGCTGTTGAATCTGGCATGTGCAGTCTATGGTTTTACTCCTTTTACTCTCCAAAACTCTGGATCTAAACCCCTTCTGAGGAATGGGTTTGGATCTGGAACTGTTGAGGGACAATAGAGTCTATCTCTAGTAGTTACAGAATAGTAGATCCTACATTCTTAATTTATTTTAAAATTCTGATTTGTCTGAACAATAAAATTTAAAAAAAGAGATGCTTTTAAGTAATATCATGGGTATACCACTGAGGGTAGCCAAGAAATTATGATGGATTTTCTGCATTTTTCCCCTCTACTGGCTTGTCATTTTGGTGTTTTTACAGGCATGTTAATTTTAGGAACAATCATCCCATGAATAATATTTAAATTACAATTTGTATTTGACAAATGTAAGCTTGTGTCCATCACATGACACTGTCAATGTTGAAACAACAACTGCAAAGAAATTCAAATCACTTCTGAATTAATTACTGTATAATAATCTCAACCTATCAAAATATTAATCACATTTCCATTTTCCCCATAGGTGGGTATGGCCACTGTTGTATTCTGCTTTTTAGAATTAGCATAGTTTATCCTGGTATATGTGACAATTTGAATAAGGATATGTTTCAGCTGAGCATGAGTAGTTCTAAATTAACAATATCAATAATCACATGACTTGACTGAATTGGCATTCTAGGGGTGAGATTCTTATCTAGACCTATGATTTGTTGTCTGAACGGGTAGTACAGTCCCTTACCTTATTTTTACACTGGTTGTTTTAAATTAATATTTAGTGTTAGATTTTGTTTTATATCTTCATGAGAGCAGTAGAGCCACCAACAAAAATAATTCCTCTTGCCTGGTACAGATTATGTGAAATTGCTTTTCAAGGACTGATTGTGGAGTGATTAGCAACAAAGGACAGTGCAATGGGAGGTTATAGAGGTTCAATCCCCTACCAAAGCTTTGGTGTAAGTCTAAATGACTTGAGCACTAATGCTGGAAAATCTCAGAGCTGGCCGCCTGTCTGGAAAGTGGGAGAAATGGTATTTGTCTAAGATTGGCTTGAAAATGGAGTCATGAATCCAGCACTACGCACTTAAAAATATGGGCAAGGAAGCTTGTCAATAATCCCACTTAGTTTTAGCAATGTTTTGTGAGTGGGAAGGAGTATGAATAAATAGAAAATACAAGGACAAAAGTGAAAAGAAAATAAATCTTTGCAGAATTTACTAGAACTATGTGAGATTTGTGTAACTGCCACCAGGCAGATTTGAACCTGTGACCTCTGGAGCTTAATGTAGGAACCTCTACCACTTTAGCTAAAAGCCAGCTGGCTTGCAGCTTAGGCTGTAGAGCTCTCTCATTCTTATTTCTCACTGTAAGTGGTCTAGGTGCCACTACATGGGACAGTGAACCACACTATGGCTATGTCTACACTAGCGGGTTCTTGCACCAGAAATATGCAAATAAGGCTAAGCGTGGAACATGGCCGAGCCTCATTTGCATACCTAATGAGCCGCCATTTTTGCGGAAGAGGCTCTTGCGCCAGAAGGAGCATCTACCCTGCTCCTTCTTGCGTAAGAAAAACCCTCTTGCGCAATGCCATTATTCCTGAAAATAATCAGCATAGTGGAATTGCGCAAGAGGGTTTTTCTTGCGCAAGAAGGGGCAGTGTAGACAGCTCCTTCTGGCGCAAGATCCTCTTCCGCAAAAATGGCGGCTCATAATCGATATTCCACGCTTAGTCTCATTTGCACATTTCTGGTGCAAGAACTCTCCAGTGTTGAAATAGCCTAGGTGTGTGGGTTACATTTACACCAGTTCCTCATGCAGGACACCAGCTGAAGTCATTGATGGCCTGCTAAAAAAAAAATAAAAAAAGTATCAGGCCTTTGAAGTGATTTTATTGAGGCAGAAATCCCACAATTTAAAGTGTTAAGATGGGTTATATGTAAGAACATGCACTTGGCAAAAACAACCTTTGTGTGGGATTCTTTAGAAGCACGCTTGATGCTAAAAATCTCTTCTCCTTTGTAGTTATGGAATTTATAAGTTAACTAATTTTATATAGAGAATTTTTATCAAACTCAGGATTCCTAAATTCCTTTGTACTCTTCAATATAACAGATTCACAAGAGTGTGTGTGTGTGTGTGTGTGTGTGTGTGTGTGTGTGTGTGTGTGTGTGTGTGTGTAAACTATAATAGATCCTCAATTCCACTCCTGATTCATTCTTTACTACATATGTTTGTGTGGGGGAAGTGGCACTGTCTCAGCCAATCAAAGTGCATGAATGTTGCACAGCTACCGTCATTTAACTACATGTTTCATTTTCCATTCTGCAAATATCTGTTCTCTGACTCATGGATCTGATTTACAAAATTATTGGTTTACTTTTTGATCATGAACATCCTTTTCTGTATGGGTAGGTCTACACTATAGAGCTTTTTTGGCAAAATGGCCATTTTTCTGGCACAACATGTGGAACGTCCACACTGCAATTGCGTTCTTTCAAAAGTGAATCAAAAGAACAGAGGGGGTTTTCCTGTGTTGGTACTCCTCTTTCTACGAGGAATAACGCCTTTTTCAAAAGAGCTTGTTCAGAAAAGGGCATGTGTGGACAGGGAGGAGGGTTTGTTTGTTTGTTTTTTTAAAAGAAGAGGCCTCTAGGAAATAACACAGGTTCCCTGGTGGCCACTCCATCCAAAGTAATCAGGACTCTATAGTTCCTGTCTCCTGGCCCCTCTTAAAGCTGCAGGCACCCTGAACAAGCCTTGTGGCAGGAAGCCAGCCTCAGAGCAGCAATTCACTGTGCAGCTCTTTCTGCTACAGGCCTTGCCACTCATGGCTCAACCTCAAGCCCCCTGTGATCCTCCTGGCCCTCGCAGGGAGCAGCCCTGGACTGACCCAGGGGGACCAAGAAGGAGGCACCCTCCTGGTCCAGACTAGAGATCCTGTCCCTCCTCGAGCTGTGGGACAAGGAGGACACCTTTCAGGATCTCCGAGCCAAGCACCACAACAGGGACATTTATGGCAGGATGGCTGAGTCCCTGGCGGAGTGCGGACATCCACCTTGGAACAGGTCTGGAGTAAGGTTAAGGAACTCAACCAGGGATATGTCCAGGCCAGAGAGCAAAGGTCACACTCAGGGGCAGAATCCCACACCTGCCCCTACTTCAATGAGCTGCACCAGATCCTGGGGCCATGGGGGAAGTATCTTTCCCCACCTGTCCTCATGGACTCCGGCCTGGAGACCCCTGTCACCACCCGGCCAGAGGCTCCGGTACAGTTCGGGAACCCCAGGGCAGCAAATCCAGCCACGATTGGGTCTAGGTCTCCCAGATGGATGATCTTCTGCAGCAGGATTAAGTTGATGGCCCTCACAACCTTCAGAAGGAGACAAAGAAACACACAAAACAGAGAATGAGAGAGGGAGTGCCTGAGCCCTTTGGAGGTGCCTGCCCCCCTACCATCATCTCCTCTCCCACAATTACCTTAGGATCCACCCCTTATGAGGCCGCTCCCTCAGCAGCAGAGCTGTGTGAGGGTGGGACTGCACAACCTCTCAGGGATGGGGTGCTCTCTCACCCCCTCTCCACCCCCCCACAGTCCCAACGCCCATTTCCTGAGGGTTCTCCTTATCCAGGATTCTCCCCCCCTCCCCCGCCCCACACACACAGGGACTGCAGCCCAAGAGACACCTCTCAACAGTGGGTTGTGGTTGCCATATTGTAGCTCCCACACTCAGGGAGAGTATCCCCAAAATGAGCTCAGAGTCCAGCTCATGCAGGACCAGGAAGATAGCTGGCACAAAGTGCTGCAGGAACTGCAGCATGGCCATCTCTGGCTCCATGGCTCAAAGGAAAAAGCTGTAACATCCAAAAACAAAAGGACAACCACAGTCGGCACTGCAAGAGCTTTGCTGTCCCACGTAGAGGTAGCAAGCACGCAGCAGAAGCAGAGTAACAGCTGTCCAGGGGGGTCCCTTTAATTGTGTGTCTCTGTAAGGCTCCGGCACCAGCACTCAGAAGCAACTGGTGACCTAAAGCCCTGGATGAAGTCGTTCTAGGTGGCCTTTTATGTGAGATAGTGTCCAATCAGTTTGGATGCTCTCTTTTGAAAAAGCTCATCACTTTTTCAATACACTTGTGTGTGTGAATGCTCATCTTCGGAAAGAAGCCTGCAGTCTAGACGTAGCCTATGTCTGCTATAAAACTCTTGACTCTAGCTGCTGCCCTCATCATATCTTATACCTATGTTTTCAATAAGTATATTTGAAGGACTGGACTTTTGCCTCATCATCTTGTCAGGTACTGAATACAATAGAGTTGAAAATAGCTATAGGACACATTCTTATTCAGGGTTAGATTCTGCTGCCTTTATTCATACCTTACTTCTTGAATAGCTCAATGGACAGCAATTGGACTGACATGGAGACTAAGTATGTATACATGTGCTCCTCCAGGGGCAAGAGGAGGAGGGGAGATAGTGTAGAAACTGACTACTTGAGGCAGATGGTGGGAAGGGATCAACCTGAAGTATCCATAGTTCTATGGAGCTCTTGGATGGAGCATTCTAACTGAGTAATTCCCTCAATCAGGACCGTCCTTAGCATTTATGGGGCCCTACTATTAAATAAGTTCCCCTCCTCCCAATGGCAGTTGGTGTGTGGGGGTGTGTGTGTGTGTGTGTGAGAGAGAGAGAGAGAGATTTTTACAGAGGTGATTTTATAATCTTCAACAACACACTAATGAAATATTTTGTAAAGCAATCTTTAAACGCAGGTCCTATAGATTAATGCAGTAAACTGACAGTATATACCTGAGGTTGGCAAATTCCCATTAAATGGCTTCATTACCACTTGAATGACTCTTTCACAGGTTCAGTGTTCAGCTAATTGGTCAGATAGGCCTTTTCACTTTTCAGTTAACCAGATCCTTTTGGGAGGAAACAGAACAACAGAACAGAGATAGAAAGAGGCAGGTGCGTGAATATTAAGACACAATGGTGCCCCACATTTGTAGGTGCCCTTTGCATCTGCATATTCTACATATGGGTATGAATGGTGCTGGCGTCAGTGCATCATGGCTAAGGTGACAGAGATTAGCATTTCAGCACAATAACTCATTACAAAACAGATTCTAGGTTAATCAACTTGCAGTCTGAAGACCTGAGGGTTGATTAGCTCATGTTAGTTATTGCCTCATAAACTGGAAAACCCCCTCAGGATACTATCAAATTAACATCTAGGTAGCTTATAAATTTAAGCACTAGAAATCTCAGAACTAAAAGCAGCACCTCAAATTATCATCTAATTGCTTGACTACATTGCCAATTTATAAATTTAATACTAAACTCCAGAAATGGAACTTTTATTACTAATACAATCCCCCTCCCACACATTTTTCACTTGTATTATTTTTCTTACGAAGGATGAAGTCCTTCAAAGCAGACTTGATTTCAGCTGTGTTCTCACTTTTTTTTTTACAAGTTTGTTTATATCCTTATTTATTACAAACTAACCAAGCACATATAGTAGTTGGACTTTAAGGACAGCTGTTCTTTTGCTTAAAGCACTGACTACTGATTATGAGGTCTGATATTTCAGTCTCCATCACTATTCTATTGAAAAAGAAAATTCATTATCAATAATATTACAACCAAGTACACAACTATCATATGACGGAGAGGGAATAAAAATAGTATTTTAAATAAGGGACCAGAATGGTGAGCCCAAGCAGTGGAAAGCCAGAGCTGGGAGCCGGAAGGGATGAAAGTACATGGTGATGCAAAGCAGAAATAGTTCCCTTCTACTGGAAAAGGATTAAGGGGCAACATAGCCTAACTGGAGGAATGATGTGTAATGTTATAATTCAACACAACCCTCTGGGCAGCTTCGATGCATGGTGCTTAGATGGAGCCTCTGTGGAATATTTATGGTGCCCCTGCTAAGCAGAAGTTTCAGGGGAAAGACAGCTAATAGCATACTCTCCTTCAAATAGTGCCTGAAATTTTACTTCTTACAAACCCTTCTCTTTCTATTCCTACTCAGTTAGCTTATTGCCAAAGATACGCAAAAGACAAATATCCTCCAATGTCATGCAACTAACACAACATGCTTAACTCCACCCTTCAATCAGATTGCTCCGTACTGTTCTGGTTCCTTGCTCTGATGGTATATTCTCTGGCTTGGTTGTAAGCTCTTTAGTACAGGGAACTCATTTTCCCAAATGTCTATAAAGTGCTCAGCACACTGTTGGCTCTAGACAAAGGCATATTAAAAATGACAACATGCCTGTCACAGACTCCTGCAAGTACACTCTCTTTAGCTATGCAAACTTGCTTTCTTTGTTCACCAGTTAGCTGCTCCTTTTGTATAGTTAGGGTGTTATAATGCTTGAATCACTCTTAATCAAATGTAATATTTTAATCCTCCTGTAAACTATTGCTGCTAAATATCTTGGATATCACTTCAGAATCTCAGAAAGGGAAACTTAAGACTCTCAATTGAACCTCAAGTAGTTTGGCTTGGAAAGGTTACCAGCAAATTACAGTAACCTTTGTGATGGGGGAATTCTACTTCAATCACGTTGAACTTTGAAGGGGAGACCGCCCCTCCCCCTCACCTCTTTGCTCTCATAGCTCCAGAACCTTACCACTTTATTGTGGATGTCTTTGGGTGGCCTGAAGCTATACCTGGCTCTATGTAGGCTTCCTTCACTTCCTTTTCGAGCTGCTAAGACACTTGTAATGCTCCATAATTCTTGGTGTATCCTAGAAACTAGGCTAAAATGAGGCATATTAGCCTCTGTGCAGATTAGAGCAACTAGCTGCAATACATTGTTTTTCTTTATGCATTGGGCTCAAAAGGAAAGAACAAATCCCGGAGTGCCTCTGGATATATGCCCAAGGACTTTTAAAAATTATTTTTAGGGGATGAGGGCTTCTTAGGGGATGAGGTCTGCAGGAGGCAGATGGCCCACTGAGTCCATTGAAAGAGTAGAGGTGGACAACAATAGAGAGGGCTGCACAAAATGGATCATCAGCTGAGGTTTGCAACACATCTGTGGACCTGGGCTGATGTGTTTGAATTCAGTATAACCTGAAATTTGAAGTGACATGCGTCTTTTATATCTGAATAGTTCACATAGCCCTGAAGGCATGCTCTAACTGTGTGGATCACAATAATAGTGATTAATCAGATTTTCTCATAGCCAATGTTCCAAGCGATTTGATGCTATTTGTTCTTGTCGTCTGGTACAAGAATGGGGAGGAAAAATACCATGCAGCATTGCGTATGGATGCACGCTCTATGAATTACAGTTTTTGAAATATTTCAATGGTAGGGGAATTTCTTTATCAAATGTATTTAGAAAGGGTAGCAAAAGCTTACAAAATCCACTAGTCATCTTCTTGTCCAATATTTGCAGAACATCTCCTGTTTCATAATAACTTCCTGAGCCAGAAGGTCTTTATGAAGTCTAAGGAGCCATATTCTTTTAAGGGCTGGCTGAGCAGGTATGCACAATATAACACAAGAACTTGTAAAGTTAGAAACTGCAACTGGGTTCGATGACTGTTTTTCAAACCTGTCTATGGTACGTGCTCAGAAAGAAATGTTTAAACTCAAATACCAACGTTTCATGTTCCATTATCCAAAGGAGCTATTCCTGAATATGGTTCTTCCTTGTTAGGGGTCTAATCCTGCAAACACTTTTAAGTATGTGATGTACTTTACTGATATAAGTTTCAGGGGATAGCCAAGTTAGTCTGTACAGAAACAAACAACAAATGGTCTGGTAGCAATGTATAGACTAACAAAACATGTAGATGGTATCATGGGCTGTGCCCACGAAAGCTCACTTCTTCAGATTACCGGAGTTCAGATGACCGGTCATCTGAAGAAGTGGGCTGTGCCCACGAAAGCTCATGATACCATCTACATGCTTTGTTAGTCTATAATGTGCTACCAGACCATTTGTTGTTTTTTTTTTACTGATGTACATAGTCCTGTTAAGACTCATCAGATAAGTAGTCAGTCATGTGTTTACATGTTTGCAAGATTTTTGTCTTAGCTATATTAATAAATATAAATTTATTTACATTAAGAAAAAATTAAAACATCCATTAAATTAAACTTACAAACTGAGTTTTAATAAGGGGAGAAAAAATTAAAAGTTGAGAGAGAAGAATATCCTCTTGTGACAGGGCATTGGCCCTGCAATGGCCTTACTAGGGTTAAAGGCTCTTTTAGGGAGAGTGCACTGCTGCCAGACAGCAGGGAACAGTCATTAGAGAAAGCCAATCAGAGCCAAGTAAGCCCTATGTAAAAGACGCAGCAGGGCAGGGGAGGTCAGTTCCCTTAAGGAAGCCGAAGGAGAATCACC